GATGAAGATATTCCAACGCACATCCAAATCATGAACGACATTGCCCATCACCTCTCTGATGGACTACTTCGACGGTATTTCATCTACTTGAGTCCCAATACACCCTTACTAACTCTCTCCGAGTGTCACAAAAATTGCGCTCTTCATCTCGACGCACACAGACCCTGTCAACGGCACCTTTCATTCAGAGATCGGGAACGGAGGTGCTGTCGATTTCAAGGAGGTACGTTATCTGTTTCTTTATATTCTCTATGCATATTCACGATCTGTAGCTCACGGAATTTCTATGTCCGGATGCCCTTCGAGTTCAATTTCGTGCACGAGGAGGGTCAAGCCACTTGTTCCTTCTCGCATGTGGCGGTTTTTGGTTGAATAAGGGAGTTCGGGACGAGGTCTTTGATTTTGTTCAGGAGTGAGTCATTATCGACAGGACTAGACCATTTGGACTCACGTATTCACATTTGCAGCATTGCCTTTGACCACGTCCTTGGGTTCTCAGGACGTGATCTTCAACCTCTCTTCACCGCGCCATTCCTTCGCCACTCCATGGAAATGTTCCTCATCCACGGCAAGGAGCTCTACACACGTTCTGTTCTCCCTGAGCACAGTGTACTAGGAAGCCATACAGGGGTAGTTTGGATGCGACCTTCGAAGAATGGGAGGTCCACCTGAGAAGGAGCGATACGTCTGGCACCACCCCGTTTACAGCCCATTCGGATTCCCAGAGAATCTCCCTCAACAATGCCCCGACTGCGGTATACTCAAACCGTGGACTGGAGTTGACTCTCGCGTTCGTAATGGGGAGCATAAGGTGACGTTGCATTGCCAGAGTTGTGGGAAGGAAAAAACAATCAAGCGAGGCGAGGGGTGGAGAAAGATCACAGGTGGTGGTGAGAACGCGCCGTATAACAAGTCCGCGACAGGCGATTGGTTGGTCGAAAAGCTTGGCTAGGGGATCATTCTCTTACGCTCACATCTACTATAAAAACACAAATACATCTCGATTTTTCTTGGGCAATTTACTTGTACAAACAACTATGACTGACTTGCGTGATAAAGTGAGGTACAACGGTAACGACAGGAACAACAAACACGAAAAGCAATAGCAAACGGGCAAGAAAATACAGGACTACACCGTGTCTAGTCATCCTGGATGTAGCACACGTGTACTTCATCCGGGAGCTGAACAGAACCGCAAATCTCGCAATCGACACACTCGTCCATGTCTAAAGAGATTCTATCAGTATCGAGTACGAGGAAGCGGAGGGAAAACTTACCAATAGCCTTGGTCTTGCCTGCTTCCTTGCCTGACGCAGCTTTGCAGTAGTGTCGGGTACCCGGAAGCTTCAAGGCCTTGCAAGCTTTACATTCGCGGGCCTTGGTCAAATCTATAAGATACTTTCAGTAACACACAACAGAATAAAGGGCAACACATACCTATGACCTCAACTTTGGATGGACTGGGAGCGCCAGTGACGGGTGCTGCAATCGGAGTGGAAACAGTGGGCTGGTGGTCGGGATCATCGTCTAGAAACCGCACGTCATTTCAGAGGGAAAACTGGCCCCAGAAATGAGCGAACACTTACCACCTTCAGCGTCTTCATCGGTCAAATTGACGTGTGTAAATCGGCCCGTCGGGTCATAGTGAATGTAGCCATCATGAACAAGCACATCGTCCTCGGCATGAACACCGCCGGGGAGGAGACTGTAGTCGTTGGTCTTGATGACAAGAGGTCCTCGGGCACGTATCGTGTCAAAGCACACTGTATCATGGTTATTCAGCTCGTCGAGAATGTTGCTACATAGGAGGAAAAGATACGTACCAAAGAAACCACACCCGCTATGCTTTCCGTTTGGGCACACAGCGACCTGTTTTCCCCCCCAGACACTGGCCTTCTTGCTCGGATCCTTCGGAATAGGGACCTCATAGTGGGTCACATACTTGCCGCAGAGGCATCTCATGCATGGTGCGATGAGGAACCGAGCGCCCTTGGCTGACATCAACTGACCATTCTCGAGGGGACTGGAATGTGATAGTGAGTACTTGTAGACGTGTAAAACAGAGAGAAGGTCTCACTAGCGAAAGCTAATCAGGCGGTTCTCGTGAACCGACGTAATATTAACATTCCGGCGCTGAGCACTCTTGAGTTGGCTAGTAGTGTGAACCTCGGGCTGGATATTCGACTTCTTGACCTTGGGTTTTGACTTGCGAAGGGCACGTTTCGAAAGTGCGGAACGAGGGGTACGTGGCATGGTGAAGATGAGGTGTCCAGAGGAAAGAGAGAGGTGGGGAGTTGAAGAGCTTGGTCCGAAACAGACCTCAGTATTTGTACAACCTTTGAATGACGAAGAGATCTTACACCGCGAAAAATTTTTTATCTATCCCCACAGTTCCTGACCAGTAGACCTATTCCTGACTCTTCACAACTTCACCTCTTCTGCGTTGTCCGATGTCGTGCTGTTGATGTTGACAGCCTTCTTCTGTCGGCAATGTCCCTGGACTCGAAATGGATATGTAGATTGAAGAAATCTGGTCAAAAGTAAATAAGTAGTATCCGTTGAAAGTCCATTAGATTGATACCTGTTTTTGCTACGAAATATTGTAAATATGGTGGAGGGGGGTCGCCGAAACCAGCCCCTCCATGTTGCTTGATGGTACGTGAGTCGCGTTCGAAAAAGACCAGCTGGAATACCAGTCAAACGCGTTAGTCAGTATCTGAGAACATCTAATGAGTGCTTACCGCAGTATACGTCTTCCCCAGAGCAGGTAGGATTAGCAGAACCTTGACCAACGCGTTACAACGCGGGGAGATGAAGAAAGCACACCCACGCGATCGTGTTGATCGCGTGGGTGGTCTGACAGCGCTCTGACAGCGCTCGACATCTGTGGCTATGACCGGCAACCGGAATACATGATCCGTATTACCAATAATCTGTGCGGGCGTAGTACTCTCATGAGGGAAGCTGCACAATTCTCGGCTCCGAAGATACCGAGATGTAATCCTTCCGGGCCGGCAATGCCAAGTTTTGCTTTGACGCGATCTGACCACGACCTCCATCTTCTAACTTGCGTTCGCTAGATACTCGGTCCAAATCACCATTCACAGTTTCTGCTGATCTCGAGAGCACGCTGAGAGTAAGTTTCTCATGACAAACAAGATACGAGTGAAACGTAAATAGACACTACATATCAAGGTGAAGAACTACCAGTTCGATCGAGACCGCGAAATGACAAGAGGAAGAAAAACAATATGGAAGGGGAAACACGTCAAGAGGATGAAGCTTCGGATGGTAGATACAGGCAATCAAGGGTTCGCTGGCAATTCCAGCAAGCGAAACCATCTGGCTCTCGTTTTTATCTCAGGTGTCGCTTGCTCTAAGCATCGGCGATACTCTAGCTCGTCTACCAGTGATTCACACTACTCCTTCCTCGTTGGTCCTCATCTCGTTCCTAGTATAAATAGCGTTAAGTCGGCTTAAAACTGGAGGCATACGCATCAAGCGTAGTGCATGGAGCCTCGTGATCACCCAAACGATCAGGCTATATAATCCCTGATTCTCACCTACATACACTGCCTCGTTGAACCTCTCCGCATCCAAGGAATTAGACGTTTGTGTAGATGAGCTGACGTCCAGCCGGTTTTATCATATAAATTGACGGGGGTCCTGTAATTCCGAGACAGGAACACCGCCAGTGGCTTTTTACTACCACTTTCACGCTCACATATACAAGTTGAATAGTTAAGACAGGATTTTAGGCTGGCGGAACCAGGCTTCAAGTGCTCACCATCATCTTCGAGGTTTACTGCTTTCGACTGAATGACAGAAAGCCTTGTGATATCGTTCTCCGGACTACATTCAACTCACCGCAATGGGGATAGTATCGTTTCTGTAAGGTGGTTCGAATTCTACTTGGCGAGAGTAAGTGAAAAAAAAACGATACAATATCCCCTTGCCACCTCCCTGGCTGGGAGTCGAACCCAGCTTTCGCGCGTCGGAGTGCTCAGTGCACGTCACTGATGACAGGCGCGTGTACTAACCGATATACTACCAGGGAGTTGTTCAATATATCTATACGCGGTGTATCCACAACCCTGCTTGAAAGCACGATGGAACGGTTTTGGGTAATCTTATCTCGGGTGAATGAGGTTACAGCCTGGCTCAGGTGTGCATCCGAAAGCCCAGTTCCTTGGGGGTTCAAAGAAAGCCATTATGAGTTACAAGTTTTTCTCGTTGTGTCCACAACATCCATACTACATAGCATGTATTTGCACTCGGAAGTTCTCAGAATTCAAGTGTTGAAGTCCTAAACCTCCGAGGGAAGAGGATACAAGGAGAAAAGAAGACATCCGTCACATGCCGGCCAAACTTAGTTGCGGCATACGGGACTAGCATATTTACTCTCGATCTGCAGAACTTTACAACTGATTATCCTCTAATATGGAATCCCGTAGTGCGTAGGAATCACGCAAACCTACATAGTCTATACTGTTTCAAATGTACAAGCAGAAGATGCCATTTAGGTATAAGTTTGCCATGTGTCGGATGTGGCCTTCTCTCGCTGTATAGCCCTGTAGCAACATTCACCCCACAATTTACCAACTCGGAACCTCACCGTTCCACAAGCAAACGGCACTCCGTTCACATGTACTTGGGGTTGGAGTAGTAGTAAGGTAAAGAAGGATCGGAAAAACGCATGGACGGGATCTTCCCCTTCCTTGTTAAAAGATAAAAGAGCGCAGGGTAGGGATACGGCCATGCAGAAGTTGCTTGGATAGGTTAGAGCTCTCATTCTGTTGCCAAAGGCGCTTATTGGGGTGAATCATAATAAAAGCAACTCGGGCTCGAATCCCTCCGCGCTTCCTCTTCCTGACTACACACCGGTGACCGAGTTGAGTAGAGGGGTCCCTAGGTGGCATTCGGGGTGCTTCGGGAAAGACAGACGACTCTCGAGAGTGAGTGACATACTGACCTATTTCGATCAATTCGAATGTCACAGGTCACACGGCCCAAAATTTTCGAAAATTTTTCGAATGGTCACAAGGTCACAGGGGGTCCATTCGAATTGCCCCACCCTGTGACACCTCCGAGCTTGCCAAATTTGGCTTCTCAGACCCGATATTCGAATTTTTTTCGCCGCGTCACAGGTCACAGTGCGTTCATACGAATTCCCAATTTCGTATGAACCGGTCACCGGTCACAGGCCATTCGAATTGATCGAAATAGGTCAGTAACAGTAGAAAATCACTCGATGGTAAAAAAAAACACATCATGAATATGATAATCGACCTCCCGGCCGTCCGACCCAGCTTTTGCGCGGTGTTCATGTTCTGGCCCGAATTTTGATGGCAGGCGTGTACTAACCGATCACTAGTACCGTAGCTGTGCTTGTGCCTTACTTCATGGGTTGGGGTCAACGCGCTCTGGCCACGACCTCCATGACTACTCTACTCAGCTCTTCTTTGGGCATTCCTCCTGTCTTCGTTCCTCAATGATTCTTGTACGAGGTAAGCTTCAGGCTACCTAGATATGAGTTGACAATGAAAGGGTTTCTTGCTGGCAGCTCTTGCTCGTGGTAATACATCAATGACAACCGCTCACTGGAAACGCCGAAGACTTGAATAAGTACTCAAATTAGTAATGGGAGCGTGGGCGAGGGAGGGAGAAAGTTGCTCGTCCGGTCTATTGAAGGATGAATACGATCTCTAGACTCTCAATGTTGAGTGAATCCACATTTTGCGTGAGTTTCACCGGATGCTCGTTTTCTACCGTGTCTGATGGACGGGTGGCCACAGTTGCTGACGCTGAATATCACAATCGCGACCTATGGAAGAGAGAAACATATCAAGACCCCCGATAGTGGGGGAGGAGGCCGGATGCAACAACAATCCAAACTCGGGGTAGTCGGTGGACAATTTTTCGCTTTTTGCAAGGATTCTCGTTCGAAGAGAAGAGCCTTGACTTGAGAAAATAAGAACAAAAGTTCGAAAACCTTGTATGGCGTTATAACTATCATGTTTGACCAGGCAAAGTGTCCTGAAGTGCTTAGAGAAACTGTGGACGGTCGTATCTGACCCCCACCCCCACTATCGGGGATCCTGACATATCCCTAGTTCCGTGGGAGTTCCATAGAACACTGGTGTCTCGAACCTGACACAGAAATGTCTGGTGGCCCCCGGACAAAGCGCGATCCAAGGCTTAGAACATACTTGCGAGGAGACTAGGACGACTTGGTACAGCTGCGGTGCTTAGCTTGCCCTCCTCAACGTTCATGATAATGATATATAGTCACATAGCGGTGGTGGTAGTGGCGGTGACACATGACCCTTTGGAGGCTACTCAAATGTCAGCCACCTTGAATTTGGCGTTGTTTGGACTGAAAATGACTGACCGCTGATAATAACAAGAGGGATAAATGTTTTGACCATCCATTCGGTTCTCTTCGTTAGTTCTGTATGATAGACGGAATGGTGCCTGAACAGTGAACCCTTCCAACACATCCAGCGACATGGAGAACTAGTCGATCGAACCCCCCGCGTACCTTCCAGTCGTTCCACAGTTTCCTATACGTCCCCACTCATTTCGAAGTGTCACCGGATTAGATCGCTCGCGTGTAAACCTGCTTCAAGGGGAGCCGTACCAGCCTCGAAGACAGATTAGTAGCTCTGTATATCATAGGAACCTAGGCAAGGTCGCACCATTGCATCTCATCCAGGTGGAACGCAAATGCTACTCAACGCTCAGTAACCCTCGTTCTGGCTTTCCCGAGTCAACAGACTTTGACCGGTGTTTGGACTTAGGCCACGTCGATCGAGCTCGTTGCTTCCCTTTTCTGTGATAGTTCAACGCTGATATGAACTTGTTCCACAGGCACATATCCAACGACAGTTGGTAGTCGATCCAGCCCCAGCACATTCTTGTCAATCGCTTCTGTATCGTAGCATACAATGCTACCGTAATGGTTGGCGTGGAATGTGTATAAAAGACGTCAAACTACACCCTCCAATTTCCAAGTCTCTTCCCCCTACAATGCACATCAAGCACTTTGCTCTTCTCACATTCCTCCTTCCGGCTGTCTTAGCTGGCGTCATCCCTCGCGCTGGCCCTATCATGTGGGTATCTCCGTTCCCCTAGTTTTGAATATGCTGACTCGATGTCTTCGTGAATCTTCAGCAACACAAGTATATACTTGACGTCTCTGGATCCTATTCTCGAGATTTATTCTGTTGTTCCCCCGTAGAATTGCTAAAATCCTGGGCGTTGGTGTGGAACCGCATTCAAGATTATGGGGATGGGCGCTATAACGCGGGGAAAATGTTGGTTCAAGACACGGGCAACTTCGTCATGCAGGTGAACGAGGCGGTTGGCTCTGATGGACCGGTTGTTTGTTCGCCGTGAACTGGTTGCTTGACATTGTCTCAACAGGGTAAATCCTCCCATCGAGTCTACACTACATACGCAAGGGGACTAACCGAACACGTTTATCCTATCTCGAATAGAGCAACTAACAAGGTATATACATACACTCGCAATCTCTATCCGCTATCACACACTGACCATGTCGTACCGTAGCTTAGGCCGCCAACGTCTAAGCAACAATTTGCCTGCCGTACCAACCTCGAGCTCTGTACAATATATCGTATAAACTGGAAAATCAAATTCACACTGTTGTTCGTTTGCCGTTTATACCGTTGTCCTTTCCAGCTAGCTATAGTGGCTCACTGGCGCAAGCATTGTTAAACCTCCCCTCGAATAATCGTATGTACCCCCGGCGTCTTTCTTGTTCCGTGAGGTATAGAACAAAAGGAAAGAAAGGTAATACATTCGATACCCGAGTTCATTCGACCGCATACTCCCCAAGATACATAACTTACAAATGCAGCCCGTGTCTTCAACATACTAGTGTCAGTTTGGGACAGGTGCGGCGGTGAGCCTTCCCCTCAACGCTTCTGAATTTGTTACACGTGCTTAGATGAACACGTTCTGTTTACGGGACTACCCAACGCTCAGCCACTGCATTCCAATCCAGCTATGGACTTGGAGCAGTTAATTTGGCTGATGGCCCACCCATTCTAGCTTTTCTACCATCATTTGAGCTTGTTCGGTATATCCAACCCCATTCCGAACCGGATCAACGTGAGTTAGAGGTCTTCGAGGCTGGTTTCTTGGTTTCAACTGTGCTTATTCTTGGATGACTAGCTCAAGCCATTCGGATGGTATCCCATACCCGACATTTCCCTATAATCGGGGTTGACTGAGGTCTTCTCCCCCGTAGATTGGCGGGGCCCCGGCGGTTTGTCAGGCGAAGCTTTGCTAGGTGGCTTACTGGGCGGAGACTTGGTGGGTAACTTGCTTGATGGCCACCGTTGGACGGCGTGTTGGGAGGAGGTAAAATCGTTTCACGATACCTTTCTCCAACTACGCCGGGCGCTGACACATTTATCCATCTGTAGCAAACTAGGTGATGAAGAAGGTAGGTATATACTCATCATCCCCATTCGCTGTCATCTCCCTTCCTCCACCAACCAGTGCCGGTGCCAGAAACCTACTTCAAGGATCGGAGAAAGATTAGTACTGTGTTCTCGTAGGGATAGAAAGAAACTCGCACCGCTATTCTTCTACCATTTGCAACTAAATCCAAACAATGCCGAGAGAGGGGGCTAATCTACCCAAACCATGTAATGTGTTCCAGTTAGTGGCGATTCATTGACCGACAAACTCAAGGTGGGAAAGGTCTGGCTCTCGTTCTGTGAGGTAAAGAAGAAAAACAAAAGTAATACAATTCGGCATTTGCATACCCCCAGGATACATAAGTTACACAAAGAAGAACAACAAAAAAGGAACGAGATACGAGAATACCACCTTTACTTCTCCTCCGCAACCTTCTTCTTATTCACATCAACCACACCAGGCTCCGCAACGGTCGACAAATCACCCAATTCGTCACCTTCGCCTGCTACAATCTTTCGCATGATTCGGCGCATGATCTACGTGGGGGAGAGGGAGGGAAAACATGTGTCAGTACGAAGGGCGGGGAAGAACAAAGACTAACCGGAAGCCTCCCACTCTTCGGCAAATCTTAATCAGGCCTCAGGAACGATATACACCTTCTTTGGAGCCGCAAACGGTCTAATCGTCTTTGGAACTTGGATGACGAGCTCTTTGAGACTTTGACCAACGCTTCCTTGTTCGATGGGTCGTATTTGGATTCCCTACCCCACACTAATCTATCATCAGCCACCACCTAAACAGAAAGAGAAGAAGGGCTCACGGTTTCATCGTAACAAACCCAACCACAGCCTGCCCCGTCAACTCATTGTTCACACCAATCACAGCCGTCTCCGTAACACCCTTATGCATAATCAACGCGCTCACGATTTCAGCTGTTGACATCCTGTGGCCTGAAACGTTTATCACGTCGTCGACACAACCTGATCTAGATGTACCCGTCTTTGTCGATGGCGGCGCCGTAGCTGGTGAAGTAGTAGCCTGGGCAGGGCTACAAGATCGATGGAGGGTGAGTAAGGGGGAAGGAAAGTAAGGGGGAAGGAGAGGGGGGGGAGAGGGGAGCTTACCTTCAAATAAACATCCATAAAACGCTCATGATCACACCAAATCGTCCTCGCAATACTCGGCCAACTCTTCTCCAACACCAACACACCCTCTACCTCCTCTTCCCCACTCCAATATCCCATCACTCCTTCCCACTAGGTGAAAATGTGCGTACTCGTTGCTGCATGCAGAATGACAACAGGGAGCCTCTAAGCCCAAAGATAGAAGTTGAGAACAGATATGGCAGTAGAAACAAAGAGGATAACTGCATCGTACCATCGGGCTCACTATCCTTCCGATAAGGGCTACCCATTATCAAACATCGTCGCCGCAACTAGAGCAGTCGCCTTTAAAACGAAGATATATGAGGAGAGGAAATTGAGATGCTAGTATACCTAGTCGTGATCCAAGCTTCAAGGATTTCAAAGGTCGGCGAAATATGGTGTCGTCGTCATCGTCATCGTGGTCAAGAGGGAAGCTGCACGATAATCGGCTCCGAAGATACCGAGACGTAATCTCAGCGGGCCGCCGTCACCAGCAGAACACTAAGACTAATTTAGTTTTGCTTTGACGCGATCTCACTACGACCTCCATCCTCTGAATAACACCAAGTCTGCCTTGAATCCTAGTGTATGGGCCTTGTGGCCACCACGGAGATCAGATCATATAATCCTTGGAATTTGACTAAATCATACTGCCCAGTGCCTCGTTGAAACGAGCCGCATCCAAGTAGTCAGACGTTGGTGTAGATGGTCAATGTCCAGCCAGTCTTAACATATAGATTGACGAGGCTCTGTAGCTGCGAGATGAGAACAACGCATGTGGCTTTTACTTCTACTTCACGCTGGATTTTGAAGACAGGATTTTCTGGCTAGTGGAACCAGGTTTCAAGTGCTCACCATCTTCAAGGTTTACTGCCTTCGACTGAATGACAGAAAGCCTTCAATGGATGTTGATATCGTCCTCCGGACTACATTGGACCCACCGCAATGGGGATAGTAATGTTTCTCTAAGGTGGTTCGAATCCTACTTGGTGAGGGTGAGTGAAGAAAAATTTTCTATCCCAACGCTACCTCCCTGGCTGGGAGTCGAACCCAGCTTTCGCGCGGGAGTTGCTCTTCCTGATGACAGGCGCGTGTACTAACCGATATACTACCAGGGAGTTATTCAATATATCCATAAGCGGTGTATCCACAATCCTGCTTGAAAGCACGATGGAACAGTTCGAGTAATCTCATCGCGGGTGAATGAGGTTACAGCTCTCTGGCTCAGGTGTGCATCCGAAAGCACGGTTTTTTGAGGGTTCAAAGAAAGCCATTATAAGTTACAAGTTACTCTCGTTGTGCCCACGGCATCCATTCTACATCGCATATATTTACACTCGGAAGTTCTCAGAACTCAAGCGTTGAAGTCCTAAACCTCCGAAGGAAGAGGATATCATCATACAAGGAGAAAAGACGACATCCGTCACATGCCAGCCAAACTCAGATGCCGCATACGACACTAGCATATTTACTCTCAATCTGCAAAACCTTACAACTGACTATCCTCTTAAACTGAACCCCATAGTGAGTAGAATTACGCAAGCCTACATGATCTATACTATTCTAGATATACAAGCACAAGATGACATTTATGTATAAGTTTGCCGTGTGTGGAATGTAACCTTCTCTCACTGTATAGTCCTGTAGCAACATACACAACTCACCAACTCGGAACCTCAGAAGTGAGAACAATTCCTCGCCGTTCCGCAAGCAAACGAAAGTTCGTTTACATGTACTTGGAGTAAGGTAAAGAAAGATCGGAGATACGCGTAACCAGGTTTCCCCCCCCCTTTTCCCTGGAAGATAAAAGAGCATAGGGTGGGGGTAGGGATATGGTCATGCGGAAGTGGCTTGGGAGGCTTGAAACACTCATCCTGTAGTTGGAAGCGCTTATTAAGGCAAATCATGAAAAAAGCACCTCGAATTCCCTCACGCGTCCTCATCCCGACTACATACCGAGCTGAGTCGAGGGGTCCCTCCCGCGTTCTTGTCAGACGGCGGTGGTGGCGGCGGCGACAGCGACACATGACGCTTTGGAGGCCACTCAAATGTCAGCCACCATGTTTTCTGCATTCTCCGGTTGTGGGTTTTGGCGTTGTTCAGACTGAGGATGACTGATTAGTGGGCATTTCAGAATGGATAGACGTCTTGATCATTCATTGGGCTCTCTGTGTTGTCTCTGCATGATAGATAGAATGGTGATTAAACCCTTCCGAGACATCCACTGACATGGAGGACTAGACGAATTGTACCTGATCGTCGATCGAACCCCCCCCCCCCCCGAGTACCTTCCAGTCGTTCCATAGTTTCCTATACGTTTCTAATCATTTCGAAGTGTTACCGGGAACAATCTCTCGCGTGCAAATCTGCTTCAAGTAGGGCCGTATCAACCTCGATTAGTAGCTCTGAATATCGTCGGAATGTGAACAGAATTGCACCGTTGCATTTCATTCAAATTGAACCCACTCAACAACCTTGGTTCTTGCATTCCCGGGTCAACACACCTTGAACGTTGTTTGGGCTTAGGCCCGTCGATCGTGCTCGGTACTTTCCTTTTCTGTGATAGATCAAACACTGACATGAACTTGTTCCACAGGCACATATCCAGCGACAGTTGATAGTCGATCCAGCCCCAGCACATTCTTGTAAATCACTTCTGTATCGTAGCATTTATTGCTACCGTAATGGTGGGTGCGGAATGCGTATAAAAGGCGTCAAATCACACCCTTCAATCTCCAAGTCTCTCCTGCCCACAATGCAGCTCAAACATCTTGCTCTTCTCGCATCCCTCCTTCCCGCTGTCTTAGCCGGTGTCATACCTCGGACTGACATTGTAAACAACGATGGGTAGGTATCTCCGTTCCCCCAGCTTCGACGATGCCGACTAAATGTCTTCGCAAATCTTCAGCAACAAAGATGGTATATACTTGACGTCTCTGGATCCTATTCTCAAAGTTTATTATGTTCATCCCCCTTAGGCTTGCTCGGTAGAGCCCCGGACGACGACTTGGACAGGGTATTTGGCGCTCTTGAAATTGTGACGAGCGGCATTAAAAACGTAGCAGAGTAAATCTTTCCATCGAGTCTTGACTACTTACGCGAGAGTACTAACCGAACACGTTCATCCTATGTCGAACACAGCGGCCTAGGAGGTATATACACACACTCAAGATCTCTATCCGCTATTACACACTGACCATATCCTACTGTAGTTTAGGCCGCCAACGTCTAAGCAACAATTTGCCTGCCCTGCCAACCTCGAACTCTGGACAATATATCGTATAAACAGAAAATCAAATTCACACTGTTGTTCGTTTGCCATTTATACCGTCGTTCTTTCTAGCTAGATTTAGTGGTGCATTGACGTAAGCATGGTCCTGCCACTCAACGTAGAGAGGTCTTGGCATCGTCAAACCTCGCCCGACCGATCGTATGTACCTCCCGGCGTCTTCCTCGTTCCGTGAAGTAAAGTATAGAACAACAAAAAAGAAAGGTGATGCATTCCACAATCGAGTTCTTTCAATCGCATACCCCACAAGATACATAATTTCCAATTCAGCCCGTGTCATCAACACCCCATACTAGTGTCAGTTTGGGACAGGTGCGGCGGTGGGCTCTTCCCCTCAACGCTCACACGTGGTTAGATGGATGCATCTTCTTTACGAGACTACCTAACGCTCAGCCGCTGCATTCCAATCTGTTGGAATGTTCAATTTGGGTTGGCCCACCCATTCCAGCTTTTCTACGCTAATTCGAGTTTGTCCGGTATATCCTACTTCATTCCGAACGGTCGACGTGAGCTCGAGGTCTTCGGGGCTAGTTCCTTAGTTTCGACTGTGCTCGTTTAATGACTTATCAATGTCCTTGTAGCTCAAGCCATTTAGATGGTATCACATACCTGACATTGTGAGCTTCCTATAATCGAGGTTCTGCCATAGACTTGCTGGGCAGAGACTTGCTGAATGGTGACCTAGGCAGACTCGCACAGTGGCGTGCTAGGCGAAAACGGCTTGCTGTCGCTGGGGGGCGTGCTTGGTGGCGACCGTTAGGGCGGCGTGCCGGAGGAGGTAATATCATATGATAACCCTTCTCTTCCATCAAGCAGTGCCGGTGGAAGAGACCTACTTCTAAGGGTCAGAGAAAGATTGAGTAGTTAGAAAGCAAGTCGCACCATCGACCGACGAACTCGAGTTGGGGGCCCCTGACCAAGCCGTAGTTCTATGAGGTAAAAGAGAAACAGGAAAGTAATACGTTCGACATTCGAGTTTTTTTCCATCGCATACTCCCCAAAATACATTACTTGCACGGGGAAAAAAGGACCGAGATACGGGAATACCACCTACTTCCCCTACGCAACCTTCTTCTAAATCACATCAACCACCCCAGGCTCCGCAACAGTCGACAAATCACCCAGTTGGTCGCCTTCGCCTGCTGCGATCTTGCGCATCGCATGATCTACGGTGGGGGGACGGGTGGGTAGGGGAGGGAGGGAGGAAAACACGAGTCAGCACGAACGGCGAGAAAGAACAACGACAACGAATACTAACCTTCCCACTCCTCGTCTTTGGAAAGCCAGGAACGATATAAACCTTCTTCGGGGCCGCGAACGGTCCAATCGTCTTTTGAACTTGGATTACAAGTTCTTTGACCAAGGCTTCCTCGTTCGAAGGGTCGGATTTGAATTCCCTAGCAGCATGAGAACACAGATCAGGACGTCAGCAAACACAAACTAAGCCACGAGAGAAAGAAAGAGGGAGGGAGGGAGAGAACGAAGGAGAGGGAGGAAGAGAGGAAGGGAGAACGAGAACTCACGGTTTCATCATAACAAACCCAACAACAGCCTGACCCGTCAACTCATCGTTCACACCAATCGCAGCCGTCTCCGCAACGCCCTTGTGCATGATCAACGCACTCTCGATCTCAGCCTTCGACATTCTGTGGCCTGAAACATTGGTCACGTCGTCGACACGACCTTTGATCCAGATGTATCCGTCCTTGTCGATGGCGGCGCCGCCGCCGGTGAAGTGGTAGACTGGGTAGGGCTATAAAAGAACAAAACGGGTGTGATTGAGGGTAAGGGAACGAGGGAGCGAGGGGGAAATAGAGGGAGAGAGGGGAGGTACGTACCTTCATATAAACATTCAAATACCTCTTATGATCACCCCAAATCGTCCTCGCAATACTCGGTCAACTCTTCTTCAACACCAACACCCCCTTCACCTCACAGCCCCACCACCGACGGGAGCAACCTCCTTCCCACTCGTCGCATCCATCAACACCGGAAAATATCCAAAGAACGGAACAGTCGCACTCCCCGGTTTAGTCGGAATCGCCCCAGGAAACGGAGTAATAACAATCGACGCAGTTTCGGTTTGCCAAAACGTATCGACGATAGAACACTCTTTCTTCCCGACGTGTTCGTTATACCAATTCCACGCTTCGGGGTTGATCGGTTCACCTACGGACCCTAGAATTCGGAGGGAAGTGAGCTCATGGTTTTCGACGTGTTGGTGGCCTAGACGACGTAACAAACGGATTGCGGTGAGGGCGGAGTAGAACTGGGTGAGTTTGTGTTTTTGGACGGTTTCCCAGTAGCGGGAGGGGGTTGGGTAGACGGGGGTGCTTGCGAAGACGGTGGTGGTCACGCTGTTGGCGAGGGGGCCATAGACGGTGTACCTAAAGAGTTGGATGGAATCTAGCGTAGGAGATGTACGAGTGTTGGTTCCGTTCGACCCCTTCGTAGATGATGGCTGTTTTTTCGGGGTGTTTCAGTCGAGGCAGTTGTAGGAAGTGTTGAAATGACCGTTGCCTTCCTTGAAGGTACCGTGTTGGACGACTCGAAAGGCGAGGGTCTAGTGGAGGCGGGGAATCTAATAAAAGATTAGTTTAGGTGTCGAGGACGGATAAATAGGCAATAGGCGCACCTTGGCCTACCATTCATCGACATCGCTCGTGTCGCCTATAAATTGCTTGTGTGGATTTTCACAAGCCTCTTCGTCAGGTCCAACCACTCGGCCAACTCTTCCTCCCCGCTCCTTCCCACTAAGTGCAAATGTGCGCAGTCGTTGCTGCCTGCAGATTGACAATATAGAGCTTCCGAACCCACAAGTAAAAGATG